TATTCMGAGTCATCCGACTTGCCAGAATTGGTCGAATCCTGCGCCTCATTAAGGGCGCTAAGGGAATCCGCACTCTGCTTTTTGCTTTGATGATGTCTCTTCCTGCTTTGTTCAACATTGGGCTGCTGCTCTTCCTGGTCATGTTCATCTACGCCATCTTTGGCATGTCCAACTTTGCCTATGTCAAGAGGGAAGCTGGGATTGATGACATGTTCAACTTTGAAACGTTTGGCAACAGCATGATCTGCCTGTTTCAGATCACCACRTCCGCDGGCTGGGATGGTTTGCTCGCTCCGATTCTTAACAGTGGAGAGCCGGATTGTGACCCTAACAAGGCTCATCCAGGGAGCTCTGTGAAAGGTGACTGTGGCAACCCTTCTGTTGGGATTTTCTTCTTTGTCAGCTAYATTATCATCTCCTTTCTGGTAGTGGTGAACATGTACATCGCTGTGATTTTGGAGAACTTCGGTGTTGCTACTGAAGAAAGCGCTGAACCCTTGAGTGAGGATGACTTTGAGATGTTYTATGAAGTCTGGGAGAAGTTTGATCCTGATGCAACACAATTCATGGAGTTTGAGAAATTGTCTGATTTTGCAGCAGCACTCGAGCCTCCTCTTCATCTACCCAAACCAAACAAAGTCCAGCTTATTGCAATGGATCTGCCCATGGTGAGCGGTGACAGAATTCATTGCCTTGACATCCTGTTTGCTTTCACAAAGCGTGTTTTGGGGGAAAGTGGGGAGATGGATGCCCTCAGAATACARATGGAAGATCGGTTTATGGCATCCAATCCTTCTAAGGCTTCCTATGAACCAATTACAACCACACTGAAACGAAAACAGGAGGARGTMTCTGCTGTTATTATTCAGCGYGCTTAYAGRCGCCACCTTTTAAAACGAACAGTAAAACAAGCTTCCTTTATCTATAACAAAAATAAAACTGAAGGTGGGGCTGGYCAGGGTATGAAAGATGAAATTCTTATTGACAAGCTAAATGAAAACTCATTTACAGAGAAAACAGATATAACCGCATCAACAGCAGTTTGTCCACCGTCTTATGATCGTGTAATGAGACCAGTCAAAGAAAAGCATGAAAAGGAAGATAAAGATGGTCAGAAATAAGAGCAAATAGCAAGCAAAATCATATATGTGCAAAGTAGTTCATAGTCTGTAAGGATCATGTGTTTATGTCAACAGGACTCCTGAAGGAGGTCTATGCCAAACTGACAATTTTTACAAATATACTGTACATTAAAGGTCAGTGCCTATTAAAAGACAGTGACCCCTTGTCAGTGACTGTGACTGTGATAAGAAGAAACAACCTTGACAGGAGGTTACTGTTCTCACTACCAGCTGACACTGCTGAAGAGGAGAGAAAAAAATGGCTACACAGACTGTAGGGACCAGTTAAAGGGGTGCAAAACCAAGTATTTGTGTGTTTAGCATAAAACAATATGGTAACTGTATCCACTGTTTGCATTTCAACTGCCACATACTTCATATTTTTACAAAATCTGTGTTGGTGGATTYATCTTGTTTTTATTCATATGTTGTTTATTATATGTGACTATTTTTGTAAATGGGGCTTCTGTTGGGCAAGGGAATTAAGTATACCTTTACAGGTACAAGGGCCAGGTGTTCTATTATCCGACTAATATACACACAGAAATTATTTGCATGAAGGCATGCTGCACTTATAGATCATGCATGAAAATAACATTAAGTCACAAAGAACAATGGATTTTTTTAGCAGTGTTTCTGGAAAGGAATAACAGAATTTGAGGTGCTTAATTAATGTATTCATGTTGTATCATGTTCAAACAAGTCTTGGGATGTCTGTGAAGTCCTCTACAACTCACAAGAATAGTAAATACGGTTTACTTTTTGCACAGACCATTAAGTTTCAGAAGGTGCAAACTTCTTCCTAGGTCTACAGTCATAGATTTTGTCTTTGTCAGATGTCTTTCTGCATATGAATACTAAATGAATCTGCCTCAGCCCTCCAAATTGATCAAAACGARACCTCTATAAAATTGTTCTGCTTTATCCTGCAGTATTGTTTAGCCATCTTCAGCTCTCAGTAAGGTTGATGTTGTACATGTTAATGAAAAGCCCTCTGCTATGTAAATAATAATTTTTAACCTGTGGTGCATGTTTGAGCAAACAGATAATGACTTTAGCACATTTATTGCATCAAATATGTACCACAACAAATGTAGTGTGCAAGCATTCAACAGGTAAAATTACGTATTATCTACCATTATWGATAGTTTGGATGCAATCAATGCATGTTTATATTGCCTATGCTGCTGTTCCTTTGACTGTCCAGAATTCTTAAACATGGGAAGCCATACATCAGAGCTAAATGAAATAAACTACTCAACAAGACCTCATTCCTCCATACCATTAAGCAATATTTTGCAGCTATTTAGGAGCTTATTTGTTTTACATTTCTGAATTTTCAGTGAAAAGCATATAGTGTATATCCAAACTGTACAGACATGTTGAAAACTACTAGACCTGTTGAAAATAATGTTAGGATTTTATAAGCAAATATAAATACTGTAAAAATCATTTTATTTTATTTTTCAGCATTATGTACATAAAACAAGAACCGAATTTTATCTTCAGGTTGATGTCACACCATTTTTGTTACTTTCTGTCCATAACACTTTTTCACAGAAGAACTCCAGAGAACAAGATATAACTAAGTGAATGGATAGCTGTAGGTTCTTATTTTTTACAGTATTTGCCAACATATAAATAATTTCTGCGAAATAAGTTCATAATTTGCTTCTTAAAAGCTAAGGGGTTTTTTTGCAGTTTGGAAATGGTCTACAGTTCAAATTGAATGTCTAAGCAGTGCCTGCATTGTAAGTTTTCAGATACAACCTTTCTTTCACAGAATCCTGAATCTTTTCTCATATTTACTCTTTTTTTTTTCATTCATGCTGCACTAGAACAGTTCTAAGTGTTATCTAGGGTTCACAATATTTTTTCACAAAGAGAAAGTAGCAAAACTGTATAATCCAACACATCAGGACATTTTATGTTTCTTACACAGGAAAATTAAATATAGATTACTTTTAATAAAATTATTGACTAAATCTGTATTAGTGAACTGCATGCAGGAAAATGCTATTACCCTAACTGATGCTAAAGAACATTATTAATGCGTCAAAATAATAAAGATTACATTTTTTATTGTACATTCCTTTTGTCTTTATTGTCTGACATTAATAGAAAAAATGTGTGCTTCTAAACCACAGAATGAGAGGATACTGAAAACCTTTACAGCCAGCTATACCATTCTTCCATGTAAGAAAATCCCTGGGACTTGCTTTTTAGTCGCTAATTAGGAATTTCTTATTTAATGTATGTTGGACAGTGAGCATGATGATTCGGCTTGTATCGATGGTTCTGTCCTGAGTGATTTCGTGCAGCAGCTCTGTGCAGTGCGGTGCACAACCATCATATACCAGAGCTGTCCTCAGTGTGTCCCAGGAGGCTCAGAGCATTTACAGGAAGGCAAACTGAGCATTCAAGAGTTTACAGAGACAAAATGAGGCCTGAAAATAGTAGTAGATTCATTGGATTGAGAACAGTTTATTCTTGCTGGGTGCTCTTMACAAACAGGCTCCAGAGCATTTCACATTCAAGTGCGTTTCTGAAAAAGCTGAAATGGTGTTGGAATGAATAAATCACTGGTCTTTTCTCAGGAATTTTAAAAATCTGGAAGCGTCATGTTTCTAGAATAGATCATTTGTGGATATTGATATGGAGAAATACAAATGCACCKGGAAAGTGGGCCTGTTCCTTATTCTTTATCAATTGCTTTGGTGAATTTCTGAAAACATTAATTTTTTATGTTTACATAATTTTATATTGCATTTATATTGTAATATGCATTAAGTTGCATATTACAACTTAAAACACTCAAAAGAGAATACTGAACTTAGTATTAAACCAGTTAATGAGCAATYGTTGTCCATATGCTTGCTTAGTGGCTAATGCAGAAATAAAATTTCATAGCATTTTCTCTGAAATTCATCAGTCTTTCAAGGGAGGGAAATTTTTCTCTGTCAAATTGTTTTGAAATACATTATGAAAAAAAGTCTAAAGCTTTGATAAAAAATGCCTAAGTATCAAAATAAAAAGTATATTCAGATTAATATGCGGACAAAATATGTCTTAGAAGGTTATCTTAGAGAAGTATGTAAAAAAATCTATTYGTTTCTCCTACCTCTTTTAGGTTTTTAAATGTTGCTTCAGAACAAGTCAAGCATAACTTAAACATAGCAGGAGATTGAAGGATTGTCTTGGCCARCCAGGAAACCCAGGTATGCTTATTGCACAGTGCTTCTTTGGCACCTTCCTGATGCTGGGGGTGAGATGTGTGTGACAAAGGAGCACCATGTGTGAATTGGACTGGCTAGGAAAGGCCACTCTGAGCATTCTCTGCGGGAAGAGCCAAACAGCCTCTCCTACAAACAGGGCAGGATGGGCTCAGCTCCTTGTGCATCACTGCCGCCTTCCCTGTGGGACGGACTGCACACCCATTCTAAAGGAATGCTCTTCAGCAACCTTTGCTCCTGCTGTCTAGAAATTATGGCTGAGGAGGCTTTCACCGCCAGAGGAAAACCTGAATGGTACCAGTCTTTGCAACTAAAATTCTCTCGGAGGAAAGAAAGGGGTTGGGGGGGGCGGGTGAAGAAGATGAAGTTTCTCTGTCTGATTTGACTCTAATGTTATTTTATTTCTAAGAGAAGCATCATGCTCAGTTACATTATGAAACGTTTCCCAAAGCTTCCATTCGGCATTGCGGCTGTGAGGGCCCCTGAGGCAGAGCCGCCCAGCCGCCGCCAGGGGGCGCCAAGGCTCGCTGGGAGCCCGTCCCGCGCCCCTTCAGGATCGCCGCGCCCGTCCTGCCCTGTCCCGCCCCCGCCGCTTTCCAACAGTTTTCCTTCCCGTGTCTCTCCCGCCTCCTTCCCGGCCGRGCCAATGGCAGGGCGCTGTCCTTACCCTTCCGGAGCGGCCCCGCCGTGGCGTCGGGTAGCAACCATGGACGCTGCGGTGCAGCAGGTGGGCGCCACCGCCGGCCGGGRGCGGCTGACAAGGATGGAGGGAGCGGGGGCGGCCGGCGAGCCGCAGGAGAGGCCGAGGGGGGAAACCGGGGCAGGAGTGCGGGGGGCCGGGCTGGGGGCTGGGGGCTGGGGCGGACCGAGGCGGTGGACGCGGTGTCCCCGGGGCCATCCCGGGACGAAGCGTTGGCACGGGTGACCCGCGGCCGCTTCCCCACAGGCGCTGCTCAACTACTACTGCCAGGAGGGGCGGTTCCAGCACGTCCGGGCCGCGGCGGACGAGGCGCTGGCGCAGCTGGGAGGGGACCCTGTGCTCCTCTTCTACCGAGCCTACGGCGCCTTGAGGGCAGGTAATGCGGCGGGCCCGGCYCCTCCMGAAACCTTGGGCTTCCTTGCCTCGCCTCGCCAAACTCAGCCCGTAGTCCGCTGAATGGGAAAACGCGATGTTASGGAGTCTGAACTGTTAAATTACCASTGTGTTATGATCTGTCACCACYTCTCCCCAGTTTCGATGAAAGTGACCTAAACAGCATCGCACCAAAGTGAGAAATAGCAAATATTTACATTTTTGTGGTTACATGAACATGGGTCAGGTAATTTGAGCCCTGCCCAAAGGTGTGTTGCATTTGATCGGGAAGTCATCAGWGTGTCCCAGTTAACAGCTGTTCCCTTCAAGGTCGCTGTGTGTAATTTTGTTGTATCCTCTGTCTCAGGGAAACAGACAGCTAATACCTATTGAGGGGGTCTTAGTGTGAATTACATTATTTTGGGATATCTAGTTATCTACATGCATATTTCAGGGACGTCACAAAATATTAACAAGGAACCCAGCACAGGAGAGGGCTGTGGCAAGTCTAGTGAGGTGTGCTGGTTTTGAGGTAGCATGTCTGTTCCCAAACTCCCAGATGTTTTTGTTTGTGTAACAATTGTGTAATTTTTCAAGATATTGTCTATTCTGTTGGTGTTCAAAACATTCACTCAAACAAGGCAAAAATCCTGGCTATATAAAGAAACGGGGAAAAAGAGCTGTTTAATGCCCTGTATAAAACAAGAAATGTAGTTTTCATCTTCATGACAGTTGGCAGAACTAGCACATAATTCCTTTCAAGTTCTTTGCATTGAGATGCTATTTTCTTTCCTGTGACTGAAAGACTTGCACAAAGAAGTGAAAGTTGATGTGAATATTGAACAAAAGCATTGAAGAAAAAATACAGGGGAAAAATTAAGTCAGGTTGATGTTTGTTGGTGAATTTCCCTGTGTCGAAAAGTGTTATAGCTTATCCTGTGCTTGTTCTCACTAGGTGATGTCCAAGAGAGTATCCGACAGCTGGAGTCTATTAAGAACAAACAGGAGGTGTCACTTTGTACACTGATAGCTCTGATGTATGCCCATAGAAGGAGCCCTAATCCAGGTATGCTCATTAAGACRTGCTGTTTCATGTTGTAAACAGCTCTGGGGGAAGGCCTGAGAGTTGTAGGCTAATTCTGCCTCAGYTGCAAAGGTTTACTCTGGCTTTGCATTTGACATAAGGTCTGTTACTGAATTGAGTGATGCTTACCACAATTGCAAACAAAAATACCAAACCAAAAAACTCTGAAGCGTAATGAATGTTAAAATAAAGCACACAAACACATACACACACACAAAATCTGACTTAYCCACCATGATGAAAAATCTTCTGAGGAAAGAAAATGAATCAAATTTCTTGTGATGTTGTTCACTCATGTCTGGTATTGTATTTTTGAACAGAACTGCAACTTGAAAAGTCTTTCAAGCCATGCTRTTTATTCTGACCATACAAATGGAGAATTTTGTGAATTTTTGTGTTCCTTTCTGCATTCTAAAAACCGGGACAATTTTGTTAGGAATTATATTCTCAAAATAAGAGTTGGTGTATCAGGTACATGGAGTGATCATTAAACTATTGTTGCAGTATCTTTCTCACTGTGCAGATTTATAGCTGCTACTGACAGTTTTGTTTAGCAATATGATGTGAAACGGTTCTGACTAGTGGCATCAGTCTTACTGGAGTCCATGAGGATTAATACTGCAGGATAGCAAAATTATCATGAATCTCAAGACTCTCTAAGATTGAGAGCCTTTCCCTCATTCATTGAGTGGGTCACCATGTCATAGCAGATCAGGTTGGCCAGGCAGGGCCTGCCTTTCACAATGCCTGGCTGGCTCTAATGCCCTGGGTGTCCTGTAGGTGCTGTGKGACAGCCCTCAGTCTGATCCATGGCCTTCCTTGACACCACAGTCAGGCTGACAGCTCTGCAGTTTCCCAGATCTTCCTTCTTGYCCTTCTTGTCGACAGACATCACACTGGCTAACCACCAGTCATCGGGACTTCCCCAACCTCCCCATCAAACAAGTTGCCTTTTCTGTTTGTACCTGATGAATATCACTAATTGGGTGGGATTGCCTGCATGTTTGTCAATGTACAGTGCAAGAAACAGTGTTTGCTTCGGAAGCCCTTGGCTTACGTTCTGYTCTTTTGTAATATTTTGAGAGGCTRTCAACAAGAGCTCTGAACAAAACCTTTTCAGATCGAGATGCTATTCTAGAGTTGGATGCAAGACTGAAGGAACAACGTAAAACAGCAGGACAGCAGGCCCTSTACTACGCTGGCTTGTTCTTGTGGCACCTTGGTCGTGAGGACAAAGCCCGTGAATATGTTGATAGAATGATCAAAGTTTCTGGTGGTGGTAAAGAGGTAACTTTTTTTTACCTGTGTAAAGATTAAAATGACCATGCATACTCTGAAGCTAGACTTAGGGCATTACTGCTATTTGGAGGGTATCCTGAACTCTTTTGTATTCTAGTACTTTCTTTCTTCATGTCATAAATTCATTCACACAGCAGAGTAAATTCCTATAATGATTTTTTTTGTTGACTAATACTCATTTTGACTTAGTAAATGATAAATAATGGCTTAATRAATGAAAAGAACTTGCTTAACAAATGGAGATAATATGCAGTTAAGCTGGTATTACTACTTGATATTAMGCATCATTCCTAGCAAAAAAATAAGCACTACATTCTCACTAGAGGGAGACATCTGGTTTGGATCTGAAGGCTTCATTATACCCAGAGGACTGAGGATTTAAATTTTCAGCTGTTGTTAAAGGCAAAATTTGCCTAGAGTTTTACTGAAATAAGTGTTGTATATAGCATTGTCTTTGGWCTTTATATACAGACATCACAATTCATTATAATCTTGAATCTCTAAAGCGGTTTCTGGAAACTTACTGTGTTATTTTTTTAAAGGAGATACCAGCTTTACTTCAAGGAGAGAAACATAAAAAATTAGATACAGAACTAATTTCTTTAGTTTTATTTTCTAATARTGCTAGTGATAATTTATATTTTAAATTTTTGTTTTGATGGCAATTATAATTTGAATACATAATTCAGCTCTTCAAAATAGATTTTATTTACTTAAGCTATAGTTAATATTTGGAACACATAAGAGAAATAAATTGATTCATTACTAGTAATAAATTCTTCAATGAAAAGACACATTTCATCTTTTAAAAGTTTGGGTGGTTTTTTAGTAACAATTTTGAGGATTGGAGAAATGTTAYGAGTTTTGCTTTTTACATGTAAGTTTTTCTTTTTTATCAGAAAGTAGAAGAAAAACATCAAGTTTCTCACTTTTTTCAGTTCCAGTATGTTTTTCAGTGTCACATAAACAAAATCWTAAGAAAATATTGTGCTGAAATGTTTTCAGAAAATATCTGTTTAATATGACCACTTCCGTGAGGTTTTGTTCTGGCTGCTGAGCACGTTACACTTGTTCAGTGCCCCTGGTGTTTTTTTCTAATTCTGTAAGTAAATGCACTATTTGATTAATTTAATTTTGGAATTAATTACTAAAGTTTTAGGTTATGCTATAGATKGGTTATAATTATATCCCTGAAGTAGTTAAAAATATACTCTAAGTCTTTATTTAGGCTTTTCTTGCTTATTRTACCTAGCATAATTTTCTATTACCTAGTTAGCAAAGAATTCCAATTKGTATTTTGTTAACAGGGGTTAATTTTGAAAGCATGGCTTGATCTCACCTGTGGTAAAGAAACTCACATTARGAAAGCGCTGAAATACTTCGATGAAGCACTGCAGGAAGGCAATGATGTTTTTGCACTGCTTGGTAAAGTAAGTTTAGTTCATTATTTTAAATCTTCCTAAATGTCAGTCTATGAAGTAAATGTAAATGTAGTCTATGAAGAGCTTGTCCAAGGAATAGAAATACATCTCAGACCCTGTAGGTACTTTAGGGTTCTTTAGACACCAATGTAAAAAGAAAGTTATAGATAAAATACAGTSAGTATTTAACTAATGTTAAATATATATTTAAGTATATTTAAATATAAATGTATATTGTGGGTGTGATTTTACTAYGCACACAAGGAAGTCTTTCATGTATTGACATGTACAAAATGAGGTTTCAAATCAGTTGAAAATGTAAAAATATGTGGTCTCTTCCTTTTTGCATGGGACACCTATGCACATTACRGAATTGCTATGTGCCAAAAAGTAGTAGTTAAACACTATGGTGTGCTTTTTTTGAATATTGTTAACACTCCTTTTTAGTTGTCATTAGTCTGTTTSAAGTATTCATTAAAGTAGTGGAGTAAATTGTTTTCTTTAGACTTAYTTCTGTTTCAGAGTATACTGCTTTGTTGCACATTAACATGATGTTTGTTTAGTATTCTAAAGCTAAATGTAAAATTGTTCAATGAATATTAGAAGACTGAAGTTCAGGMGAGTGTGCACATTGGTATTTGTTTAGGTGTRTGCTTGGCTGCATGTGGACCATTGCATTAGATTAACACTATATGTCAAATGTAGTTACTGAAAGCAGATGTTAGACAGAGAGGTATCTCACTTGGGTTTAAGAAATTGACTCTCAGAAACTACTGTTTTTGCACCATTTTTGTCTTAAAAAGATGAAATAAAATAGCACGCGTAGATTCACCTGGAATATGGTAAGTAAATTCAAAGCATCAAAGCAAAACAGAGTTTAAGTCCTAAATTTATTTCTACTTGAATTAATTAAAACCTGTGGTACTTGACTTCTGAAGTAGTTTTGTATTTGGAATACCCAGTAAATCTCATTACAGTTAGAAAATTAATTCTGGCAACAGTAGTTACCTCCTGAGTGTGGATTTTACATGGTACATACCTCAGGGCTTGAATAAATGTTTCATCAGTTSTGTTAAGTATCCTAAAATTGTGGGATATTTCATGCAAAATTATTTGAAATCTAATAAAACGATTTTACTCTTCAGCTCTGTCTTTTTCTGGCTTACAATTGACTAGGAAGTTGTAAATACCGCAGTTACCTTTATTACAGAGTGCTTGCCACACACACCAGGCTTTACACATCATCCTTTACCATTTGATTGGTGCAATATGTCTAATTGTGCTTGATACTGAGGTAAAACTATTACTTTAGGAAAAAGATTTCTCTCCCTAGYTCTTTTTCCTGTTTTTTTCCATGAAAGAACTTCAGAATCTTCTCACCTGTGTGAGTATACAGGCTCTTGATATGGCTTCTCTTCTTTCCATTAGGCACAGTATTTTGAGGTCCGACAGAATTATTCAGGAGCTCTGGAAACTGTGAACCAGATAATTGCAAACTTCCCAAACTTCATTCCTGCTTTCATAAAGAAAATGAAGCTGCAACTGGCCTTGCAGGACTGGGAGCAGACAATTGAAACRGCTCATAGGTTGAGTATGAAGTAGAACAGCGCTTAACTCTTTTCTTGCCATATTTATACTCTAAGAACACTTTGAAACAAAAGTAGATAGGTTTCCACTCATTGTTAAGGAATCTGAATTAGTTGCATCTGTTTTTWAAAAATAAATTTCAAGTAAATTAAGTAGAACCCAGCCTTGCAATTCCATGAGGATACTACCTTCATACRTTAATCCATTTTGGATGGAAGAGGATCTTTCTTAAAATAAGCATGAAATAAGAGCTGTGTTTTCAATTGAGATCYGTGACGTTAAATGACTGTGAAATGCAAGTTTCTTTTTTCCCATTTTAGGATAAAATAGATGATTGAGTGAAGGTTTGGTTTGGTTTCTTTACATTCACTTACTGTTTGGCTTTAGACTATTGCAGAAAGATCCCTTCAATTTGGAAGCCATAAGAATGGAGGCCCTGCATCATCTATGCAGGGAAGGAAATTTATCTGAGGTGAGTCTTTTCATTAGCAGAATGTTGAGCACGACACAGTGCATGTGGCATCTAGTCCCTCCAGAGGTTATCATCTTTATGTATTCTCCTCATATACTTTGCCTGATCCTCTTCTGCACTAATCTGCAGGAGGTATATTCTCCTATTCTGATTTGAATGGCTGGTCTAACTTGTCTTTTCTGGATGCCAAGGAAAAGATAATTTTTAACCTTCATCTTTCCAGAGAACAGGTGTTAAGCCAAATAGAAATCTGATCTGAGCAGTTAGCTGAATCATGTGAATTTGGATCATCAGAGTGATCTTYTTTGTTTAAATGCTCTTTTGATAAATTCCTAAGTTACTGTAAGCCTTCCATTATTTTTAAACATTTTATCAATTGAAAGAAGTAATGAGGTCTTGTAGTAATAGATTTTTGGAAGCAGGTCACAGTCATTTATCAGCCGTTTGTGATGTTAGGTTGTATAACCTGTGTTTTGTTCACCATTTTTTGACAATTACTGTGGGGTTGTTTCAGCTCTAACAATTCTATGCTACTTTTGCTTCTACACCCAAGATCTCCTTTTTTTTTGCACAGGACTATATGTATTCTGTATGTACAGCGCTTGGGCCCTTTTTCAGGAAGTTTYAAAAGAATTGATCTAAATTGTCACCAAAAAATCATTCTATATTTTTCCTCCTTATGCAAAAATACTGGTGTAATTTAAGTGGAAATTTAGCAAAAAGATGTAAATGTTTTCATTGTAATTAAGGTGTTTTCAAGTTCYAGAAGAAAAGGTATTTACATTGTTTACTACATTTTTTGTTTATTGCAAAGAACTCAATGATAGGTCCACTTACAATCAAATTTGAGTCTTACGAACAATCATGGGAAATACAGAGAAGTAGTGAAAATTGCTGACTCCATTGGAGCCCTCCAGGAAGGAGGGCTGGACGTAGTGGAGTGTAAACTAAAGATTCTGGGGTAAAATCCCACATATAAACAGCCACGTCTAGGGAAAAATTTCAAGGCCTGTTAGATTTACACATTTTATGTGCCGGCATCTAAAATCTTATTAAAAAACCTATGTACCTGATTATTGTAAGGCCAGGGAAACCTTAAGTGATTTGAGAAACTAATGTTAAATGTCTGAGCACTTGGAAGTGCTTTGCYTTTGCGCATGCACGTCTGTATCATACTGAAGCCACAACAAAATTCACAGATCAGATTCCTCAGACTATGTTGCTGTTTGGGACATATCTGTTACATCACACTTAGCTCAAGCCTTTCATCTTTTTAGRGCATGGGTAAAGGACACGTGGTCTGCTTTATTGTCAACTTTACTATTCCAAAGTATTTTCTTAGGAATTCTCAAGTCTAACTCCTAGCACTGAAAACCTCTGAATTTACATTTCAAGGTGTTAGTGCATAATAAAAATATAACTAGTTTTAGTGAAAACTGTTCAGTTGTTCTAACTTACTGATTCTTTCTGTTACTTACTATTYTATTCCTTTTTCTCCAAGGCTTCAGCAAGACTGGGAGACCTAATTAAAGCACTGAACAGATTAGAACCACATAATTCTGAGCTGTTCTGTAAAATGGCTTTAGCTTTCAGTAGAACGGTGAGTATGCTTTCTTTTTTTTCCTTAAGCAGTGTGCAGCTATCGCTATATCCTGGTTTTGTTTTATTTTCTGGTAGGCAGATGTCAAATATCTACTAAAAAGTAGAAAATTGCAGACAATTAAAATAGATTAACTTATGTGGCCTTTATAACCACATTTTTCAAGTCTTATATTCAGTATGAATTACAAAGCTTAAATCATCTCATTCCAAAAATGGTTTTACTGCTTGCTTTGAAGTGAGAAACAATGAAAATACACTTTAATATTCACCTGCTGTAATCATGCTGTAAGAAAGTGGCAAGGTTAATCACATAACTTTGATAGTGAAGTTTTCTTTTATCTCTCTGTTTATCAAAAATTGCTGTAAGGAAGCATTTTAAGCAACTATTAACTRTTCCTTTGTGTATGGGATTGTATATTTATGTTTGAATCCATTCCACTTTAATGTCACAGTTTTTATGTACACAGACTAATTTATTGTCTTAACTTGTTGTCTTAACTACTACGRCTATATTCTGTGTGTTTGTCTAATTGAATCCAAAAACTAAGAAAAAGCTTAAAGATTGTTCTTACCATCAGTGTGGCCGGAACCAGCTCATCCTTCAGCACACACAAACCTTAGTTGAARAAGCATTTGATTTGGCATCTGACAATGCAGAATTTGCTACTGAACTTGGCTACCAAATGATTTTACAAGGGAGCGTGAAGGAAGCTCTAAAATGGTACAAGACTGCTATGACACTTGATGAAACAAGTGTTCCTGCAYTAACTGGTAAGGTCTTACACTTCATTTTGATTTTTGCTGGACAATGCTTTTTTATCAAATTTTGCTCCTACTGCTACTGGGAAAATCTAGAACTAATGGAACAGGAGCATCAGGTTGTACTTTGAGATTCATGGTACACTGTCTTCCTTGTAACAACAGTGTCTCCTTACTGGATATGTCTTTTGGTCTTCCCTTTTGAAAAATAAATCTTTTCTAAATTAGAGATCTCAGAGTAATAGTAGGAACAGACATTTGGCTGTGTTTTACTTTTTAAAAAAATTTCTGTAGGGCATAAGAGCTAGAGAACTCTTAGGCACAACAAAAATTAAAAATCAAGGGCAGTTGATAKAACAAGCTGTCCATGTCTTCATTTGTGTGCAAATTAGGTTGAGAAACMTAAGTCAAAGCAAAGCATCATACTTTGGATGTAAACATAAAAAATCTCACCAATTTATAACAAGTCCCTTAAACCCCCCTTTATTAAAAAGTGTCAAGAAAATGGAGAGTAAATATGTCATATTTTCTTGGCAGATTTTTCCATTTTTTTCTCCTTGGCTATGCCATGGCCTTAAATAGTATTAAAAATCTGGATGGCAGGAGTGGTTTGTGTGTGTGTGTTGGGGTTATTTTCGTTCTTGTACTTTTTCTGAATTAAGAATCCAAGTTTTATGCTCCTTCTACTTAGTGTCAAACCCGTTGAAGTTTGACTCTTTCAAGCTGCTTTATAGCATTGATGTATCAATCATGTATCATCTACCCTAGGTTTTTTTGAGGATGTAAAATTTGCATTACTGTAAGTGTTGATCCATTCTTTCATGTCACTGCTTTATGAAGAGGTTCTGGAAAAGAAAGCATGCTTTTGACTAGGAAGATGGATTGGCAATAAAGTCTTTCCATGTGTTACAGGAATTATCCATTGTCAGCTAATACAAGGTCAATTAGAAGATGCAGAGCAGCAGTTGGAGTTTCTTAACGAAATTCARCAGTCCATTGGGAAATCTGGGGTAGGAAACATCTTTGTTCTTGAAGTTAATTTGATTACAATCTGAACTGTAGCATTCTAGCTATTACACGTTCTATATTTCTGTCACTTGAGTAGAGTGCTATTTATGGAGTGCTGTTAAGTCTAAGTTTCAGGTTTTCCTCCTATCTAAGTTAATGTGTTGCTTAACTTTGCAACACAAAGCTGTTCGCTAYAGAATGAAAACATCATTTTCTAGCTGTGTTTTTTCTCTGAAGGTAAGTTTGAAATCACAAGGAAGGACATATATTCATTATTTTCAGGATTTTGTGATAAGACAAATGTAAAGGCTTTTGCACAAATTAAAGGAAAGAATTGATAGAATAATCATCAAGTGTCCTTTGCAATATACTAAATGTCTTACAGTATCCCTAAATATAAAGAAGTGGCTAACATTCATAATTCTGTAGTACYGTATGAGTAACAGGTGAATGTATYTGGACTATACAGAATRTTTGARTTTTTGTGGGKTTTTTTTTCTGTAGGAATTATCATTCTTACGTGCAGTCCTAGCTATGAAAAAACATAAGAGACAAGAAGAAGTTATTGCCTTATTGAATGATGTTCTGGAGACTCACTTTTCATCTTTGAAAGGATTTCCTCTTGGTGTGGAATATTTTGAAAAACTAAACCCTGATTTCTTGCTAGAAGTTATTAGAGAATATCTTAATTTTTGCCCAGCACAGGTAAGCAGCTTTGGTCACATGTCTGAAAATGTGAGTTATTTCATTTTAAGAACAGTTAATCATGAAGCAAAAAAATAAAATTCCCTCTTAAAATATCAATTTATTTGAAGTGAGAGTACATTATAAGATATTACACCACTGTTTAGTCAAAGTAATGATAAAAATACATCTTTTGTGATGTGAGCAAGTGGCAGTAATGACACCTGAGGGAACTTGGAATATTTATTCAATGCACTCYGTGCATGTAGTTGTACATTCTTAGTATCTCTTAAGAAGCTCTAACAATACAGTGACTAGGACTTTCTCATTTTGAAACTAGGATCCTCACACTGACATCATGTTCAAAAATATGAAAAATTTTTGTCAGCTTARGATATCTTTTCAATATACATACATTCTTTCTTTTGTGTGTTGGTAAAAATCAGTGGAACACTGCCTTATTATATTCTTATTATTGCTAATTCCAGTGAAATTTCACCTGCTTGAGTGGCTTAATTTTTTGTGGCTCAATGTGTGTGCTCTAGTTTTGGTAACAAAGGCATGTAGAACTTAATRAATTGAATGGGGACCTGACATCTTTAAAGCAGAAGAAACACATTTAAAGTTTCTTTAAATAGTGTCTTCCTTGAATAGATTCAGATTSTTCTGAAATAGCTGGGAACTGTCTTCTGTTATCCTGTCATTATTTCTAGCCTAATTATAGAACCTTTCCATAAATATGTTTATGTAGAGCTCTAAAATCTTAACAGCAAAACAAGTAGCTTTCCATTGTTATGAACTTYTATAAGAAAATCGTAATGTTTGCAGGTCTAAAATGTCAGTAGCAGTGACATTTTCATGTCACAGATGAGATAATAAGAAGTGTTATTCTATGAGGTGGTATCTTATCTGAAGACGTCCCTGGGATATGATCCAGAAGTACTGAATAGCAGTGGTGGTTTTTAATTTGGAATTAATCTGCTTTTCTAAATTGTTGTCCACAGAAAGAGTTTTAGAGGAAAAGATAGGCTTTTGCTGAAGTTTCCTTATCTCTTTGTTGCAAAAAAGAGACGTGGTGTTTGAGGAGTTAGCTAGGCTATGGAGGCTTCCATTTTGGTTTGGAGATGCTGCTTCTCCTGGAYATGGGTCATGTGGAAGTTCTACTTGTGAACAGAATGATGTTTAGGTTGCCTTTTCTTTTTTTTATTGTATAAATCAGGCAGCAACTAACCGTAGTAACAGAAGGAAACTAATGGTGTTTCTGATAAAAAGCAACTAAAACATGGTATATTGTACCAGSAGTTTGCATGAAAGTAGCTATTTTTCAGCTGCTATTTCAGTTTGCTGCTAGCAGTTTGAGTATGCTCTATGGTATGGGATGAGGGGTAGGAATGACAGGACCAGAATCTTTTCTTCCCATCCTTCTCATCATTCATTCCAACTTCAGCTTTCTTGAAATTTAATTCATGATACTGGTGTGTTGGATGAGTTGCCCTGGTGATTCAGAATGTGTCACCAAATGCTGATGGACTGACTCTTCTACTTATGTCAGGTCTAAAGTGTTTTATCATCCTTGAAGACTCTGAGACTGTCTTGTGTTCCTGCTGATACCAAGAAGTTGCCCCCTTAAATTTCAGACACTTTTAAATGTTTTTTCACGGTGACAGCTGCTTGAACTGAAGGAAATTATAAAGCTTAGCTAGTGATCATTTGAGTTTAAAGTGAAGCTCAGCCTTAAAATGAAATCTAAATCTAAAACCTGTTGACTCTAGTGCTGGTTTTTGTTAGTTTCCTGGGATTCTTTTTGTATTACTTGTTTTTTTTTACTCCTAGCCTGCAAGTCCTGGGCAGTCTCCTTCACCACTTCTCAAACACTGTGCTTCAGTTCTTGAAACTGTTGTAAAAACTGTGCCTGGTCTTCAACAAGCTCTCTTTTTAATTGCAAAAGTGAAGTACTTGTCAGGTAGTAGTTGTATGAATGGCTATTATTCATGGCTGTTATTTACCACGTCTTTGTTTTGTTTAATATAAAAAATGAATTTCACACATGTAAAAACCATAATGAATATTTTTCTTTCACTGGAGAACACTACATTGCACCTAAGTGAAGAGCATTTGCACTTCCCTTTTTTTGTCATTTATATGAGAGTATCTTARTTGTACAGACATATAACTATTTTTTTGTTTATTGCATCCCAAAAAGTTAATTTAGTGAATGATTTACAGATGGAACAATGGGAAAATATCATACCTTTGACCTGCTTTTGGTTTCATGTCATAACCTTATAATACTTTTTATATGGGTTTATTCACTAGATGCTGACATTTATTTAAAAATAAATTGATGTATTTAACCTCTGTATTTCATATCAACTGCTTTTTCRCTTTTCCCTATTTTAACTTCCAAGGGGACAATGAAGCAGCCCATAGTAATCTACATTACTGTCTAGAAAGGAATCCTTCTTATGCAGATGCRCACTTACTGATGGCCCAGGTGTATTTAGCTCAAAACAATACCAAACTATGTTCTCAGTCCTTGGAACTTTGTCTAAGCTACAATTTTGAGGTGAGTTGAACAAAAGAATGAAATAATTTTATTCAATCAGTCATTTAAAGTTGTACGGTTTTGTATGTAATACTTTTCAACTGAACTTTTTATAATTCTTCTRCTACTAATTAATAACTAAATGTTTATATGACGGTGACATCTGAATATTTATCAAAGAAATTACCATGGCAACAAAACTAATGCCTCACAAGTTTCACTTCATGAGTCTTACACATTGCAGTATGAGATTTTTGATTTTTTTAGATCAGGGGAGCTTTCTGTAGGATTAGCAGAGAGTTGGGAACACTCATTAGATCAGAGTTGTGCCCAAATGTCTTGAGATCACTTAGCTGAAAACTAKCATATCTTTGCAAGCATGTTCCCATCTTGGTTTCTTTCTCTGAGTGATAGGAGGTGAAGATTAGTATCTAATTAGGTATCTAATTGAGGTCTTTGCCATTTCATAGAGTTTTATGTCCCTTACAGACTTTCCTCTTCTTGTGTAGTATGGTTTATGAAGGTGGAGAATGGCATGCAGGACTTGTGCCAAATAATGATTGTCCACTTCATTCAATTAATAGCCTCATGAAGTGTTCATGCAGCAGTGTGGGAGACACTCAAAATAGCTTAGAATTCAGTTTAGTGTAAAATAAAGCAGCAAGGAATGTTTGTCTATCCCAAARTCTCATCCTGTGTAATAGTTTTTTGTAATTCAAAGCATACTAAATTACCAGTTTGCATAACTCTGAAAATTCTTACATTTTCGTAAGTAAATTTCAGAAATTGAAATTGTGTAAATTTGGAGGAAAAAGGAAACCAAAGTCTATATTAAAACAAATCTTGCAAAGGGTTTGAATATTTTACATCAAGTAAAATTTGGAAACTCTTTATCTCATTTTTTTTTTAGGTGAGAGAACATCCTGTGTATCACTTAATTAAGGCCCAAACACAAAAGAAGATGGGAGAAATATCAGAAGCTATTAAAACCTTACAGATGGCAAAGAATTTGCCTGGAATGAAAAAAACTACAGCTTCCTCCAAAATAAAAGGAAAAAGTATTGAAATTGATGCAAGTGATCGGGTGTCTGTGTTCCTAGAGTTGGTAGAAGCACATCGTTTGAATGGAGAACCGGTAAGATGGCAAACCTGTTAAAATGCAGAACAAACCTGCAGCAGGGAAAAAGCCCTGCTTGCAGGTGCTCARTTTTGAGACTACAAAAACCATTTTGAACTGTTGATATTTATTTGCTGGGATGTAAATCCCTGTTCTGTTGTCAGAATGCTGTTAGCAATAGTTTTGGATCATGTCCTTATCTTTGTGTAGCAGGGTCCCCACTATCAACAATGTCTGGATGAACAGTAGGACACTATATATGGATAGGAATGTAAGAGAAGCCATACAGTCCTGTAGTTTGGAGGTCAGCCTGCACAAAGCAGGACCTCTTAGAGCAAGGTGCTGAAGACATGCTCTAGCTGAAGTTTGAGGATAAAACATAGCAAAACAAGTGGTTTGTTTTTTTGTGTTTTTTTGGTTGATTTGCATAATGCCCAGAAGTGCTTATGATGTCTTTATTTTTGACTGTTCAACAACAGGAACTAAATTCTATTGTTTTTATTATTTGCAGCATGAAGCTGCTATAGTCATCCAAGAAGCCATTAATGAATTTTCTGGAACTCCCGAGGAGCTAAGAGTTGTGATTGCAAATGCAGATCTGGCAATTGCTCAAGGAGATGTGGAACATGCCTTGACTATGCTCCGAAATATTACACCTGAACAGCCTTATTTTATACAAGCTAAAGAAAAAATGGCAGATATTTATCTTCAGTATAGGAAAGATAAGAAGTTATATGCTGCTTGCTATAGGTAAAAGTTGGTGGTGTGCATAAAGAGTTTCCTAGACGTTTAAAGATAGTTTGATGAACTCATTTTTTTCTTTTGACTGAAATAAATGAAAAAGATTTAGAGACCTGAATTCATTTGAGTAAATGTGGTAACTTTAAAAATTATTATTGGGAGTCTTATTTTGAAAAAAAAAATATTTCAGGTTTTTTTTCTGTTTATTTTCAGAAAAAACTAAAATCTACAGAAAATAAAATTGTTTTGCACTTCTCTTGCTTAGATGTCAGTATTGACATGTTAAATACTGACCAAGGTTTTGTCTTTTGTTTCCAGTGATCTGGTAGAAAAATTGCCAAGTGCTCATACTTTGCTTCTTCTCGGTGATGCATACATGAACATTCAAGAGGTAAGTACTTGCTAGAGGTGAATGGAATATTTGAGTAGTTTGTTGACTTTGTCTAGTTGAAACATTGTGGCATGTTGACTCTTATTGATTGGTGTTTGTCAAACAGAAACTGCTTTAAGATGTAAAACAATAAAAAATATTGACTACAATGTAACTGTTTAAATTAAAGTAATGTTGAAAATACATTTCTTCTAAAAGCTTCCTTGGTGAAAGTCAAGGGGGGAATGTTTTCTAGAAGAGCACTGCCTCATAAGACTAACAGACATGTAGAGTTAGAGCTAAATTAAAATAATGAAGAAGCTGGAGATACTTAGAAGTGTTTTGAAATGTACAATAATTCTAGGTAAGTTAGTTCTCATGCTGATGGCATTTTACTTAAAAATTTTAAGTTATATAGTTCCTATACATCTTTTTGTATCCTTTGCTTTTGTGATGAACTGGAAATGCTATTTATTATTGGTAGAAGACAATGTAGTCAAGTGGATATAGGAATTTGAAGGCTATATATTTAAATTCATATGTTAAAAGAACAGATTGAGTTAGGACGTGCAACTGATAGTTTAGATTACTAGTTTGGAGATCTGTATATGATTAATGGTTGTTTTGGTATTGTTTATGTGTAGTTTTCTCCTTAATGAAGAATTATCACATAAAGTTGAACTTCCTTGATCTGTTATCAGATTTTGTTTTCTTCATACACTTTTTATCTTTATCCTTGACTTACATGTGTTTATATTTTACTGTTRAAGCCTGATGAAGCCATAGAAGTTTATGAGCAGGCCTTGAAGAAAAATCCAAGAGATGCATCTTTAGCAAGTAAAATTGGAAAAGCCCTAATTAAAACACATAACTACTCAAAGGTATTCTATAATTATTGTATTTGGTTAGTTGAGGACTGTGTCATCATGTGGGCTTTGCTTGACAGGGTGGGTAAAAGTATTAAATTTCAGAGTGATAAAGCAGATCTTTTATCCTGAAAGTAAGTTTGTAGATCAGATCATCTGGCCAAAGGCAAAGTTGGTGGATCCACACATCGGGGTTCAACTCTGTTGAATTTTAGTTCTGGTGACTTTCAGAGGGTTTGAGTCTGCACTCAAAGCCATGTTCTGTTTCCTCCATTGACAAAGTGTAAAAATTCTAAGCAACATGTCATTAAATACCTAAGTAACCAGGTTGTTGTTTATAAGGTTTGTCTTCACATTATGCACCAATTTTTGCTTCTTTCTTTAAGGCAATCGGTTACTATGAGGCTGCAGTGGTAAATGGTCAACAGAATTTCCTGTGCTATGATCTGGCTGAGCTTTTAATGAAACTGAAGCAGTATGAACAGGCAGAAAAAGAGCTTCAGCAAGCTTTAGATCATGAGCCTGGTAGGACTGTTATTAATTCATAGGCAAACATAAAATTTCTACTGTTACCTGTGTTTTCTACATGTTTCTAAGGAGTAAACRGGTTCATAAGCACTTGTTTATGGTTTAATTATATTCACAGTGGTTTAATTATATTCATTAACCTTTGTGGCCATATGAATAGATAAAGTGTTCTGTAAGTCCGTTCTGTAAGTTTTTCTTATGTCACTGTATCATTTTCATGCTTTTCAGGGGCATGTTGTTTTTCCATCTTGTTTACTTTTTGCTGAAAATAATCCTCTGATTTACTATTGTATTCCTGTCTTAGTTAAACTTTTAAGGATCTCGCTAATTTRATAGTCATGGTCAAGACAGCTTGATTTTTCTAGTGTATCAGTAAATACAGTTTCACCCTTGCACTTTAAAATCTCCTCTTCTGTTGTAAAATGAAGCAAAAAGTCTTTTATGTCTTTTTTAATGTCTTTTGATACACAGACCTTCTCTACATGTAAAGTGTTTATTTTGAGTGATAAAAAAATTATTGAACAGTTTAATAATAGTTTTTTTAAAATTCTAGTGTATCCTGGAAAAAAAATTAATTGTAGGAAGTGTACTGGAGGGAGCGATCTTACATGGTTAGCTAAAGTCTAATCTCTGATTTAGAATAGCATGTCACAATTACAGCACCTTGAAGACCAATTCTCTGATATAATGTAGCTCTAGATACTCAACTCCTTAATTTTAATAAAGATTAAAATATAGAAGCCACCAAAAATTACGTTTTATGTAGAACTGTGCTCAAGATACCACTTTGTCAATAAATTAAAATAAATTTAAACCAGGGAAGACTTGTATTATTCAAATACTCATTTATGCATATTTATTTTAACCATTATTCAAAAACAGCTGGCTGCTTTTTAAGTAGATACTGAAATATTTAGTTAAAATAATTTTGTATTTGTGTCTGTTCCAGACTCTAGCAGAAGAAACGTAGTTTGAGGTCTGGCTAAGAGTTTGATCAAACAGTCTCATGCTTTTTGCATGTGGAGTAGCAAGTTGAATCAATTTGGATATTTTTCATTGACTTTGAGGAGGATTTAGACAAGAGATATAAGGCGTGGCTCTATTCCCTGTCCACTGGTATCAAAATATCTTCTCTCATGTTTCTGAAAATGCAAATAGACTAGACAATAAAATATTTTTTTTATTGCTTTTGCATCTTTCAAAGTCTTTGGCCCTTAATCTCACTTCGTTGTAGTCTGTAATGTTTACTCTGCTCACTACCAACATACTCTGCCCACCAGCAACACACCAAATCACAATTCTAAGTAAGTAAGATGGAGCTGTGAATTTTTCATGTTAACTCTTGCCTGTCATATGTGATGAGCTTCATCTTTCTTTGACTTTACTGGGATCAGTTCCTTCAAAAATGTTTGTTTCATGTCWTTCTTACAGTTAATGAATTGTCTTCTCTGATGGAAGATGTCCGTTACCTGGTACTTCTGGCAAAAATTTACAGCAAAATGGAGAATATTGACCAAGCTATTRTTTCATTACAGCAGGTAAAGAGGACAACCAAAAATATCTGTGGCAACTTGCAGTGGCCTCATGTTTACCCCTGGTTTCACGCTCCTCCCATATTCTAACCATAGTATTCATGTGAACGTAGACAATAAGGATATGCTGGGGATAAAGCACYAGTGACTGCTGGGAAATGTAAAGTAAATAAGGTGTTACAAAGTCTAAGCCTTTAGCAGGTAGTGTTATCTGAATTTTAGATCAGAATGCAGGCTTTTACTGCAAGCCTGCAGTCTTACCATGCCTTCATTTGTGTGTGGAGCACAGTTTTAGCAKATCAGGTGAAACTGAAATTGGCCATGAGGGCAGCTAGATTACCTACCTTTAGCTCAGCATTGAAAACCRTTCAGAGAGCAAAATGAAACAGCTTTCAGTGGCTACCTGTTGTTYTGCTGTGCTGTTGAACAACAGTATTAGTATTAAATAGCAATAAYAAGATCTGTTCATTCTGCAGTTGAATATTATCCCTCAGACTAAGGATTGAAAGAACAGAGTTGGAAACTAGCGGTTTAATCCCTTAGAAAACGCTTTCTCAACAAAAAGATTGAGCAGGAGTTTGGATCAGTACATTCTGTTCCATTATACCTCCACTCTGAAAGTGAAGGTAACAGAAATGGTTAGCCTTGGTAGCATCTTCTGATCAGCAAGAAAAGTAAAGCCTGTAGATTGGTTAGAAAGGTAATTGTATATGAGAGTTTAAATACCAATATGGGTAGGATTTATCTTTGTGTAATTCTTACTTCTTTTTTCCTTATAATGTACCTTTTTCATTGTCAAAATTGACTTTTTTCCTGCAATACATCTTTAGTAAAATTCCTCCTAAGCAGTCTCCTTCTCTTACTCTTTTATTTACTTCTTTAGTTCTTCCAGGTTTCTCACTATATCACATTTCAAAAAACTTTCTCTCTCCTTTTGGTTTTTTTTTGTTGCTGTTTTTACTAWTGCCCTCAAAATTGTCCTTCCTTGTCCTTCCATTTTCTTTGAAATGTTTTCCTGTTCCTTTTCCTTTTGATGCCACATTTATTGACACAAAAACACCTGCATTTGATTTCGACAGGACTAACTGCTCATTCATGTTACTGCCTCTTAAACAGCTCTCTTCCCTTGGTTTTCAGAGAGATGTTAGAAGTTCTACCCAGATATTATTTTATGTTTTAGTTCTAATTCCCTGCTAGGCAAAATGGTAAGGGTRTAATAAGCAGAATAGAATAGAAGTATTATTAATTATTAATAGAAGTATTCTCTTTTTWAAAAAAAAGTACATTATTTTATAGTAGATAAATAAAATTCCTTTGAAAATTTTTGACTGCTCACTGCTTTCTCCAAACTAGGCTCGGGAATTACAAGGCAAAGTGCTTAAACGGGCTCAAGTGGAACAGCTGGATGCAGTTCCTGCACAGAAACAGTTAGCAGCTGAGATTTGTGCTGAGATTGCAAAACATTGGACAGCCCAGCGAAACTATGAAAAAGCAATTAAATTTTACAAAGAAGCCCTTGTTCACTGTGAAACCAATAATAAGGTCAGTTCTCCCTCTGACTGGTTTGCATTGTTTTTCCATTCAGCAGTTTTTAGATCTAGCAAGACATTTTTTCCAGTTGTCCACAGGACAGAATAATTTGCAGTTATTTCTGCTTCATGATATACATAGAGCCTTGAACTTTCTCCCCATCACTGCTTATCATGGTGGAAAAGTTGCATGTGCTGCTAACTTCTGTCTCTTACACAAACTCCTGACTCAAGTGGTCTCACGTCTGCATGCACTCACATTGAGCCTGTCTTCAGGTACCAGTAATCATGGAGATTGTTTCCATCTTGCTTGGTGCCTGTCCTCTGGARTGAACTTCAGTGATTTTGGTCAGTTCAGTCAATTTTTATCTTTGCTGTGTCTACTTTAGCAGTTCTAGACTTTTATCTGGACTTGGTAGGATTCTGGTTTTAGTCACAAAATGTTACTCTTCTTGAGCAGGATTATTGCATTGCTTCTCTCTTTTCTGCACAGTCTTTTTCCCACAGCTTGATAAATGCCGGTAAATTTGAGTTTATTTTTATCCTCTTCTTCCTTCTTATAATTTCACAGCCATGGGCTTTGGAGATAAGAGAGGGAGAAGTGAAAGTCTAAGAAATTTGTAATTATAATGAGTGCCAAAATTAAGGGTCAACTTTAGTGAGGGTATTTTTAGATTAAAAATAAATAAATACAACTTTTGTTCATTTTCTGTGATTTTCTATTATAATTATGTTATCTACTTAGGTTTATGGCAAGACTTCTTATTTAGATGTTTATCATTGAACAGCTGTCACATGCACCAGCTGCTAAATTACCAGCACATTGCCTAGTTTTAGTATTTAAACTCATGTTTTGTGATTCCAAGAACCTTGGTCCTTCCTAAAGCTACAACTTCAGTGTATTTGAGACAGGCTTTTCTCAAGGCATCTTTTAAGAATGATATGGAGAAGAAAAACAAATTGGGAAAGGAATAAAAACATCCTTAAAATGGTGACTTCCCCATTCTACCATTAAGTGCAAGGAGACTGCCTCTTGTGGTACAGGTACAGCTATGGCTTTTGTATCACTATCAAAGCCTTACTTTGTCTTTCATACCAGTACTGAAACACCATCGTGGCATTTCTCTTCAATTCTTGCTAAAATCATACTTTTGAGAGATTCTCYGTATTACAAGATGTTCTGTGCCACTGACATTTGTACAAAGTATCTGTTACCTAGTACTGAAGGGTTTTGCTTTAATCCTGCTTTGCTAGCAACACAGAATGCAGTGACATCTTAGAAAATAAAAGTCTGAATTTCTGATAACTAACTTGTTGCCTACTTGTTGAGTAATGAAAGCAAAATACTTTGTTAGCCACAACTACTATAAAGAAATTATCTGTCTATTTTTATAGTTTCAGTAGATTTGAAAGTGTTTTCTTCCTTTCATTTTTAAAAATATCACTTATACAAGATTAGAATTGAATTATTTTAGATTACCGAATATACTTTTGAGCTGTTAAAAATACACCTGTTTCTTGGTGTCTTCGGAGTTGACTTTTCTTAAAATTATGTACGGAAATAATGGAAATTCGTTTGAAGCTATCTGTACCTGGTTTCATCAGAACAAAATCTCCTGTATTTTAGTCAAAGTAACCCAAAAYGTGTTGAAATATTGCATTAAACAATTTACTGAAGTAAATGTGAATAGATTGCAGTCAGCATCATAGTGGGGGTTGTGTTGTTTTGTTTTACATGGTTAAATCTGGTAGGTAGTATGCTCCCTTTGTTTCCCTGATCAGGTAAGATACAGTGCACTTTCCAGATGGAGACTTGAAGTGGATCACAGATTGCATCATGTGCATCATTTCATGATATCGTTGTGTTGGAGTTGAAAATTTAGAGACCATTTCCAGTCACTAGAATCTAGTATAGAAATCTAGTTTAGCTGGCTTTTTTCACTTCCTGCAAAAGTATTCCTTGACTCCAAGACTGCTTTTTGGTATTCCACTGTGTTGTGCAGTAGGAGCAGCAGCTTAAAGAGAGCTTTCRTAGCTAAAGTTCTTGCATACATGCATTCTCTGTATCATTTCAGTGCTTACCCACCTGCCTTTCTGTTCCAGAACTACATGGTATGTGTTTGAGTATGAACACAGCAGGAAGTAGGAAGAAAACAACTGTTAAAAACTGCTAATAGCCTGCATGTCTTGAACAGGATGTTTAAAATACCATTCTGATTCATAAGTGCCTGTCACAAGTGCAACTAGTGAAAGAAATGTGATGCAATTGTAAATGCCTCCCTTTTGGAAACAAAAATCAAAACACCATTTAAAATTAAGTAGAAATGACATTGCTTACTATTTATCTACTGCTGATTTTGCTTTGTGATCAGTTTACCTTCTGTTTGCTTCAATGCAATTAAATCTGTGGTAATTTGTGCTTATAAACTTTACTGTGGCATTTCATTCAGTATAGTCTATGATGGGACTTCAGCTTTAAGWATGTATGCTGGTTTACATTTCAGTTTGTCAATATTTACTCTTGCTTCTCAGAAATGGATTCACACAGAGTCTTAATGTGGTAGGTTGGAMATGTAAATAAGAAGATTGTTTCTTCTGAAACTTGCTGGTACTCCAGAATTAATTGGTGAATGTTAATGAGGTATTCGTTTTTTTAATAAATTTAAAACTATTTTCACTTATATTTTTCCAAGAACATTATTTGTATCAAAATACTGGTGTCTTTAGATCAGTACTATCTGAGCAGCCTTATTTGCAATGTACCTTCAGAMTATCCCTCCRAAGAAGAAAAGTTTTGTCTGTTTTATAAGGTGAGGGAATGAAAATGAATTGCAGTAATTGACCAAGAGCCCACAGGAGACAACAAAGACAGCTCTCTGTTTATTAGAGTTACAATTTTTCCCTGAAGCCCTGTAATATCAGGTTGATACTCGGAACTGAACCAACTTTCTTCTTCTTTGAATTACATGTAGTTAAATATTTTAATACACAGGCAATGTTGGAACTTGCACGTTTGTATCTTGCACAAGATGATACTGATGCCTGTCAACATCAGTGTTCCTTACTGCTGAAGAATGACCAAGATAATGAAGCAGCAACAATGGTATGTGCTATTATACTAATACTGCATCAGATTTTTTTAAGTTTGTGTGCCTGCAATATGATATATTCATAAAACRCTACTTAGAAGAAAGCCTACAGCTTGTGATTTTGAAAAAATGTGAAAATACATGGCAACAAAATGGTTTTCTGTTTATGCCTGCTGATGTTTCAATATGAAGTTTCTAGCAATAGCAGCCGTCATTCCATCTCACTGTCAAATGCGTCTTTAAAAGTAGAGGAAAAAGCAGTACTAGTAAGACCAATGAAAGTAAGGTTCAATGCATGTTCTGTCTTTCCAGCATAGAAATATTTAAACAGAAATTTTACCTATCAGTGGAGAGAAACTGAAATGAAATAACTCACTTCACCATCTCTGCTGAAGCAGGCWGTCATCTTTCTTTTTCCCTAAATTTAAATTCACTTTGGTTTTCCATGTGCTTGATATGATGCTATGGGAAATAAAATTAGGAGTAAAACTGTGCAATGGTAAAAAGACCGTTCTTAACGTTTTTAAAAAAAATAKATTTCAAAACATATTTGAAAGATATGGCAGACTGCTCAATTACCTTTTAATTTTCACCTTATGTGAAAAATTGAGATACGAGGCTGTACTTGTTACCCTGTGTGTGTTGTATATAGTGTTTGTTTTCCGGAGAGTTAGGAAAAGTCTAACTGATTTTATTTGTTGTGCAATTCCTACAGCACTTTAAAGCTATAGTTTCAGCTCTCCACTTCATATAGCCAGAGTTCATTATTTATAATTTTTTTCATMTGTTCATAATTTATAATATCTTGTTTTGTTTTCTTTAAATTGTTCAATGTTGTAGATGATGGCTGATCTCATGTTCAGGAAGCAAGATTATGARCAAGCTGTTTTTCATTTCCAGCAGCTTCTAGAACGCAAGCCAGGTGAATATTTAGCAGTGGTACTTTTAATCACATATATACATTCTGATATATMGTTTTAACAAGAGAGAGAAATAAATAGCTCCAAAATTCTTCGCTTGATTAAAAAGAAGTATGTTATTTATAATGTATAGATACTAAAAGCCAAAAACCATTACTGTATATAAAAACATAAAGATATTGTAGAGGAGTATGAGAAAATTATTTCTCATAGATACAGTAATTTGCTGTAATGCAACATAGTGTATATAGTCTACCTTAAGCCAAATACRAATAGGGTGTTATTTACTTGTTTACTGTACAGCACTTTCTTTTTTATTAAAAAAAAATTATTAAAAATATTAAGTGCATTAACACAAAGGTAATATTTTATTTCAAGACTAATAAAGGAAACTTGTCTTGGGCAGCAGTAAGTTTTTTTTAGCAATTTTCAAGTTGTGACCAGAGAGAAAGCTACTAAAATCTATTAAAAATTATACTATAATAAATATAAACCTTTCTAATGGACTTCGAAAGAAATCACAAGAGTGGAACAAATGGTTTTGTTTGAGTGCTTTTGAAAGTTAAGTACAATTATACTTCTATAAAAAGCTGTATGAAAATATTGTAAGTATCACTTGACATCTTTATTCTTGTATCTGAAGGTACTATGTAATATGCCTAATGTATTAAATCTTATCTCATTTTTATATGTTAAAAAATTAATGCACGGGTTTTGTTTATTGAGTTATTAATATAGCAAATGAATAGAATTACAGTGACTTAATTATTTGTATATTTAGATAACTATGCAACTCTCTCTCGATTAATTGATCTGTTAAGAAGAGCTGGGAAACTAGAAGAAGTGCCAAGATTTCTTTTAATGGCTGAAAAACATTCTTCCCGAACAAAGCTTGAACCAGGATTTCACTACTGCAAAGGACTGTATCTTTGGTACTTRAAATTACAATTAAGGTTTATTTGACTATGCAGTATGTATTTAAATTACTTTCTTGTCATCCATTATCATTTAAAGRTGCTATGTTGATTAATTAAGGTGTCAGGATTTAAGGAGAGGTCGCAGTTTCCCTGAATATGTGAGGATGTTCTTCTGGGTTCAGTAATGTAAAACTGTCTTCAAATTCTAGAACTTGTCAAACTGCTTTTAGTTAGCAAAAACAAGTTCCTTGCAATAGCACGCRTGCTGTTCAAACATTACATAATGGCTGTATGCAGSGGGGTAGTCTGTTTATAAATACTTGGTTTTCTTGGGATTTGGGTAGAATTTGGCACAGAGAATTTTACTTACCTGGCTTTAAATGTTTTAATCATCCATGTAGGTACACAGGTGAACCAAATGATGCACTGCGGCATTTTAATAAAGCTCGAAAGGACAGCGACTGGGGACAGAACGCTGTCTACAACATGATTGAAATTTGTTTGAACCCAGATAATGAAACTGTGGGTGGAGAAGTCTTTGAAAATCTYGATGCTGATATAGGGTAGGTAAATTAAATAAATATTGCTTGAGTTCTTCYGTCATCTCGTTCTTCTGCTGCTCCTTGATAATGTGCCTTAATTTAAATTGCTAGAATTTTGAGATCATCTAATGCTTTGAGTATTCTGTGCTACTGTGAGAGACCATTCGATACTGTAATAAGTGAGTCTTAAACAGAAAATGTAGATTTTCTCTGGAATGCTGGTCACTTGAAATGTTACAAACAGCTTCTTGGCTTGGAATTGCTGTTTTTGAATACAGTCAATGTAGAGTGCCTGTATACCAGAGCCATTGTTTTTACAAAATGGCATGCCTTTAGCTCAAAAGCATTTYTGACTTGTAATTAATTTGGTGTGTATTAAAAAAATAAGCTTCTATGAACATTTTCCTTCTGATAATAGTAATTCCACAGAGAAGCAGGAGTCTGTGCGGTTGGCTGTAAGRACAGCAGGAAACCTGCTGAAGGAGCTCAAGCCTCAAACCATTCAGGGTCACATTCAGCTGCGAATCATGGAAAATTATTGTCTCATGGCAACTAAACAAAAATCAAGTGTTGAACAAGCACTTAACACTTTCACTGAAATAGTTGTGGCTGAGGTTAGTAACCTGTCTCATTTCCTCACTCTTCCCTTTCATAGTGACTTCATTTTTTAACTAGTCTTTCAGTTTGCATTCAGCAGTAGTGGCATGTGTTAGTGCTGTTTGCTCTAAAGATTATTTTTCCATCAAAGAATATTTTATATCAAATTTGAAAAAAAATCTGAAATAACAATATATTTTAGAAGTTTTCACTTGAATTACAAACTTAGACTACAACTAAATGCTAATATTGCTGGTTACTGAAATGTGAGTAGGCTCTTCGGTTGCTGGGCTTTTTAAATCACATTTGTGCCTGCAGTTCTKACTGCTTGCTTTTGAGGCTCTTGCATAGAACGGTGGCTTTTAAGATTCCTGTTTGTTTATATATAGCTTGGATACATACAGTTTAGACTTAAATTTTTACAAGCTGTTTACCTAATAAGAGGAATCAGGGTTCTTGTTTCTGATACCTGACAGGTGCTTCTACATGTACAAAATAACACTTTTATTTTAACTTCRAGTTACTCCATTTTTATCTGAAGTATTTATATGTCTATAACAAGGATAGCTCTTAGTGATATCCTTGTGAGATTAAATACCTGTGGATTTTTATAGCAATTCTTCTGCCTGGTGGTTATCATGATTGCAGAAGTAATTGTAGCACTAGGTGGAAAATATATCTGTAGGGTTAGATGCTCTATCTTTATTTCYTGAGATTTAGCTTTTAGATTACTTTTTAGATAACTAGTGAAAGTCTTACTTAAAAAAAAAATCAATTGAATTAAGAAAGCACTAAACAGTCATTGTACTTTTTACKGCAGAAGGATCATATACCAGCACTTTTGGGAATGGCCACGGCCTACATGATCTTAAAACAGACTCCACGAGCCAGAAATCAGTTAAAACGGATTTCAAAAATGAGCTGGAATCCCATTGATGCAGAGGAGTTTGAAAAGAGTTGGCTTCTGCTTGCAGATATATATATTCAATCTGCAAAATATGATATGGCAGGTGAACTTCTAAAACGATGCCTTCGTCATAACAGGGTAAGTCAATGTACATTGAAAGTAACCTTAGTAACTTTCTGTTTGAATTCATCTAAATGTTTTGTTTTCCTCTGAAACTGATTTTTGAAAAGTATTTATTTATTCAGTTGCCTGGTATTTCACTTCTTGAGGAAAAATAAGCCAAAAGAAGACAGGAAACCAGCAACTTTCACACTGGAGGGTAGTATACAAACCTGTGCATGCTGCTTAGTCATTCTTGTCCATGTTCTGTCTCTACCCAGGTTTTAGCTGTGAGGACTCTAAAAGCTTAGGGTGTTTATGAAGTGTCCCAGATGCATTTTACTTAGTCTCACAGAGTGGATGTTGAAAGATCTAGCTGTATAAATTTTGACGTTTCTCCAACTTGCATGCAAAGCTGCTAAGCAGGGATTGTGCTATACAAATAGAGGTTGAATAGTTTTGATCTGAACATACCTGGTCAATCCACAAGACAATAGGTGGTGTTCTCCAATTTAGAAGACTTGATTAGATTGAGAAAACACATTATTGGGATTCTTTCATTTTTAGGATTTTTTTTTACAGAATTGAATGAGATATATATGCAAATTAAGTAAATATGTTGAGTGAAAAATTCATAAAAGCATASTGTGATTTAAAATATGGATTTGTTGTGATTTTTAAAAGATTTAGGATTGGTTAGTGAGATCCCAGTGAGCAGACTGTTATTATGAAAGTGGGGCTTCTTACTGATTTCCCTTCTTGATTTTGATCTTTYTTGTTTTGTTTATCACAAGTGTGAGGGGGTGTATATTTTTATCCTCAACTTTCAGGCATTCCCATACTGATACCAGTATGTTGTTATTTGAAAGCTTTTCATCTGTAGATTTTGAAAGCCTAACTGGAAATTGTAAATATAAAGATGGAAGGTAATTTATATGTCAGTATTTCTTGGCACTTTCTATGTAAAAAAGGTGCATATGTTTTTCTCTTGAAAATATTTGGCCTATTGGCAGCATAATAATATAAACTGTTCATGGTAAGGGCATACAGTAGTTTGGTYTTTTATAAGTTATTTTACTGCTTTAGGTACTAAATGTAAGATTTCTATATGAATTATTATGTCTTTCATATGAAGTTTTATTATGGAGCTAGATGGATTTATATGTATGTATAATATAAGCAAGGCTGCTATTTCCAGCTAGTGCTTAATAGTTTCTTGGAACCTGTTTTTCAGATGCTTGTGACTTGCCGCTTGGATTTATAAGAAATTAAAAACTTAATGGTTGATTTTTCTCTTTAGGTTACTTGTGACTGTCTTTAAGCTTTAATTGGAAAGTTGTAATGTTAAACCATTTCCAAACAAAGCTATGAACATACTTTCTTAAGAAAAAAAAAAGAAAACATTATTTGGAAAGTACATTTTCCAGATAGACTTGAAATGCAGCTGCATAGTAAGGTTATTATGAACTGAGAGAGGTATCTATTTTTGTAGGAGTAGTTGCARTGGCCTCTTTGATGAACTCTGTGCTTGACCTGGAGTAGTGCAGAATTCCATACAACTCATTTATAATACAGATACTTTAAATCAAGACTTGTGTCTTCAAAGTTAGGACAAGTATCACTTGTGCTTTCCATTTGTATGGATTTGAAGTATTTTAGCAATTATGCTGTCAGTTGTATTTTATGCAAGCTTACCTAAATAAAGTTGTGGATGAATATTTATATTTTGCAGTCATGCTGCAAGGCTTATGAATACATGGGATACATAATGGAAAAGGAACAAGCATATAAGGATGCAGCAATAAATTATGAGATGGCCTGGAAATACGGAAACCAGACGAATCCAACAGTAGGCATGTATATGTAACCTATAAGTATGACTGTTTAAATGTAGAAAACCCTTTATGAAAAGAATGCATACATAGGATAAAATATTTTCTTATTCAACACCTAGAATCTGCTTGTGGGTCCCAAGGCTGGTGGTAACCCCCATACATTTTATTTCTTTAACTGTAACTGATGGATGCTGCAGTGGTTTGGTTCATGGTTTTATCTAATGTGATATGTAGATTAAAGTMGTGTGTTATTAATGAGACTAAATGTTTGTGGATTAGTTCCTACTTTTATAACACAGTTCTGAAAATGCACATATATGSGTGGATTACTAGAACTGGATGTTAACTGTATGTACTCTGAGTCAAAAAAAATCAGGAGGGTCAAACCAGAGGAAAGCTTATATCAAAACAGAAATAAAAATGACTGATAGGAATCTGACTTAGGTTAAATGGAAAAATCTCTAGAAATCTGAGTTTGGGTTCAGTCATTTTTACTAGATGTTGCTCTTCCTGTAGAACAAGCCAAGGTTGTTGTTGCTGAAATGTTGCAATTGTTAATCAAATAAAATGTATTMGAAGTTTTAGTAGTAAAGAGCTGTGATTTCTTGAGTTTGTACAGAACATAGATCAAGACTTTGCATTTTTTTATTTCTAAATCCTCTAGAAAGTGGTGATTCAACAAATTACAAAACCTTTTGACATCTAAATAGTAGAGTTCCTTAGTTAAATTAAACAGTGAAATAATCTTGCATACAAAATAGAGTACAAAATTGAAGGTACTTTGTGCACTTGTTTCTGGTTTTGCTTTACAGAACTATAAGGATTGTCATGCATTAGAAGAAATATGGTTAAAGCAGTGCAAATTTCCATCTGGCAGTAAAGCCATACAGACTAGTATCAGATCCCTCACACTTATTTGCCAGTGAGGATAAGTTCAAAAATGAAAAATTTAAAATCTCAGGTTTTGGAAATTGTATGCTTATAATGTTGKTTTTTTCTTGGGCCTAGTTTCTGCCCAGTCTGATATACTTGGAGCTTTACCTCTTAGATTGCAAGTATCAGCCTGGCATGTTGCTATGCAACTTAGTCATTCATGTGACGTTTTCTATCAGTCCTCTGCTGACAGTGGAACTGATTAGCATTTTAATTCCCTGGTTTGTTATCCCTTTTTTTTCTTTTGTCCTTTAATAATGGAATTACCTTTACAGAGGGACAGTGTATTGCAGGCCACAGTGAGAAACTCTGTGGGATACCACAGTAATTGAAAGAAGGCAACCATTATGTATTCTCTGTAGTAGCACATGCTCTCCAGAATAATGTCTCCTTTTGATTCAGACATAGCTATCAGTGTGTAAAGGATTTTTATTTACTGCTTGAAGTGACTTTCAGTAGAAATTTTGATCGCTACCAGGCTTATATCAGACAACAGTAAGAAAAAAACATACTAACTTTAGAAACAAATGGTGACCCAAAATAAATTTAAATGTGATATTTTTGTTACTCAGTACAGAAACTGAAATTGTTACCTTTCCTCTCCCCCCTCTCCCCTTACCCCTTTAATTGCAGGATACAAGCTGGCTTTCAATTACCTGAAAGGAAAGAGATATGTTGATGCAATCGATGTTTGCCATAAGGTAAAATTCACATATGTGTTTAATAGTCTRTCTCCGGTAGCAACATTCTTTTACATAATGACCTTTCTTTTTGTTTGAGTTTAAATTTCTAAAAGACATAGTTTATTGTCAGAAAGGAGCCCTATCTCACAAGTTTGATTAAATTAAATATTCTCTTCATAATCTGCTCTGTCTTGAGCTCCATGRAACCAGATAAATAAGAGATAAAAGTGACTGGCTATTGTATGTGAAGGAATATTCCAATGGCACCACCTYCTTTTGGCCATGTGATTGCAACTTGGTAGAATCCATTTAGAAGTATAGCTGAAAAAGTTTATCAAATCAAATATTAGTATCAGAAGACACTGTTGGAAAGTGACTTGAAGTATTATCTTTGTATGGTCCAAACAAAAGTAGAGCAGATGCAGAGTAAGAGGAAGGGCTACTGTTAAAGAAGCAAAGGTAACATTATGAATTAATCATTATTCATATTAATAATAAAATAAGTTAAATTTGCTCTTTTTGGGAGAAATAAAGATAATTAGGGAGGACAAAATGAATGGAAGGATAAGAGAGAAGAGGGAATTGAAGGGAAGAAGATGAAGTAGGTAAAGTATACTACAAAGAGCTTAAGGGAGTGAAAAYGTAAAGGCAGTTCATCATTGCAGAGAAAGTATACTTAAAAACTCAGAAACATTTCCACAGGTCCCTTTCTGATTCATGCATTTCAAACCACCCAGAGACTTCAGCCCTTGAACCCATGTCTTTTGCACCAAGGTGAAAGGACAGTGGAAATGAAGCAAAATGTCTTTGATAGAGCTGGTTTTATCTTGCACGTGTAGTAGTCTCTATCCACAATTAAACATTTCTGTATTCTTAAGACAAACTTGGCATGTTATTTTAGTTTTAAAATATGTAAGCTCAGTGATGAAGATGRTTACCAAGTACAGAGTTCTTTCTTTTTAAACTCAGAACTTTGGGGTTGTATTGTCTTTTGACAGGTCCTTAAAGCACATCCAGACTATCCAAAGATCAAGAAGGAAATACTGGACAAGGCCCGTGCATCTCTAAGAAACTGAATTCTTTTTTTCTTGTATAACTCATGGACTTTTGTTAATGCAYTTTGGAAACTATGAATGAAGTACTGCAGTGACAGAAACCATGTCAGCAAAAAAGTACTGTGGCTATGATGAATGTAACTATACTAGAGATCTGGTTTRTTTTTAAGAAAAATCTGCAGCCTTGAAAGAAATTGTATTTGTTCTCTTTCAGGAAAGATTACTGCTCCCATGTGTGTTATGTRAAGTGTCATCATGATAAAGTGTCAGCAGCATTGTAAAAATGTTTTTAACATGTAACTCAATGTTTTGTTGTGTTTGTTTGAAATAACACTAAAACAACCTGCCTTATCTAGTGGAGGTGCATTGTTAAGATGCTGGATTTCAGTTTGTGTATACCATTATTTCATAATTACAGTGTAATCTTTATTAGTACAGGTGTATTTCTAAATTAGGAGGGGTTTTTTTAGGTCTACATATATTAAAGGCATGCTTTATTTTTTTAAAAATCTTGAAAACAAACAGCTATGTGTATTGCTCTCAGTTAAATTTACTTTTTTAAATGAAAATGTAACGGTACGAATTTAGATCCTGTGTAAAAATTCTGTAAGGACTTTCATAGGTCATGCAGGTCTTACACAGAATTTACTTTCTGCTCATGCTGTTATCCACCTGTCAGATTTCCATAAAGAGAAATGTTCTTAATTTTTAGTGTTTAGTCTTTCAATGTTGTAAGTGTGGACACTATAGTCATTTATGCAGAAATTGGCACTAATTTTGTTTAATCTCTATAAAACATCTTTTTAGAGAAATAATTTTTATTACAGGGGATTGTGATCTTGTCTCACATACAGAATATACCTGGGAATCATTAGGACAGAAGTAGCAGGTCATCAATGAGTGAAAGGAAGGAGAAAGATCACATTTCTTTTCACTGATGTAAAATTTTTGAGAAAACGCTTGSACTGCTCTGTTTGGTTTTCAAACAGCACTTGATGTTACATGTGTCTACTAGAAAACTAATTTTTTGGCATGAAAAGGGAATTCCTACTGGTAGTAATTAAGTTTCTGTATTTTATAACCAATTTGAGTTTTTAGCTTTTCCTATTGACATTGTGYAAAATCACTTTCAGTTTGATTTTTGCGTTTCTTTTTAGGACAGCTCAGTGTTAAGGCTACAAAAGGAGACTACAGTTTTATCTAATTTTCTTTATCAGTAAGTGGGTGCTGTATCTTGGGTAACTTTTTAGCCTTGTTTCCTGAATACATTGAGGTGCATCACTTAGACAATGATGCTGCCTGCTGGTGGTTGCTAGGTCCTGCATTCTAATAACTTTGGAGCTGTTGGTCAGCTAAACTAATGTGAATAGATGCGTCTCAGAAGGACTAGAACACTTTTACAAGATTTGTGTGAATATTTGAATTGAGAAAAGACTCAAATAAGTGGCCTCTTCTTCCCAAGGGATCCTTGAAACTTACGGTATTGCTTTGTCCCTTCTGTTTGAGCACTGTCTGTGTATGTGAGGCACAATACAAGCCCCCTGGATTTTGCATGTAAGTTTTGCAGCATGATAGAGCTGAGAGGAGGAAGATTTGTTATACTAGGGAAAAACTGATGATAGGGGAATGGAACAAGGAACATGGAAAGATCTAGAAAATGCTGATGCTGTGGGTAACTCTTGACAGGTGGACTGTGAGGGTCAGTAGGCTATAAATGATTAAACTGTGCTCTTCTGTGGAGCTTTTTCACCCTTAAAAGAATAAATACTTACAGAGGCAGTTTGTAGTAAAACAGCATTTCTTTGTACCCAGCCTTATTCATGCAGGATCAATATGTTGTTGCTTCCTGGATAGCGTAGGAATAACATTTAGCTGAAGTTTAGAATAAAAATAGGTGCAAGATGTTTTCAAAAAAGGCAAGACATCTACATCTGATTTGTTTTTCTCATTAGATAGACACTAGCCTTTCATAAGATAGGGTGTGACAGATTAAGCCATGGCAATGGTAAATTACAGAAATTAATTGATAGAAAAAACTGAGACTTTAGGCTTTCTGTGGCTAACTTCTGGTGAAGAGTTTTATGTATACACCATACAGGTAAGATTTCTGAATTCCTGTTAGCCATCTTGAGCATATCTAGGCACTGGTGTCTTTTAATAAATGAAGTCWTTAAATAAGACTACAAATGAGACACATCTTTGGATTTTAATTTAAAGAAAAGGCTCTATGTAGTCTTTCAGAAAAAAATCTTGCTTTAATATTATATCCTCAGAAGAAATAAGTGTCCTTTCCATATCCCTTTTTGTTTATATATGCCAATTAAACTTTTCCTGTGCTTATCTTCTTTATTTACTTTCTCTACAGAAAAAATGATTTTGTGTCTTTCCTCTCTGCTTTTACTGTTTCTCACTTTAAAAATGAGTGTTCTGGTAGTTTGGTGGCAGGTTTTAGCCCCTTTCTTAATAAATGGGTTTGAATGGAAGAGACTCTGGATGGAGGGGAATCAGTAATGCTAATTTCAAAGTCATGCACTCTTCAGTGTGATGTTGCTTAGCAACCCATCTTCCAGTTTTGCCTTTGATGAATAAAAGAGGAGAGTGAAGCTGTGGTTTCTATTGATTCATTCACTGAAACTGAAAATCTAAGCATCTTGCAGCTATAGCAACATAAGCCATAGGTGTCTCTTTTTCTTCTCTCTTGCCACCCTTTCCATCTGTAGGTACAGAATGCCTGGAATATCTTCTAGAGGAAATAAAACAATTATTGGTAACACTGTACTAAATAATATTTTCTGATTTAATTTGCTACTGCTTTTTTTAGATTTGTAGCCATGCTAGAAAGATGGTCCAGGGAGTATCGTTAGGCAGACAAATTAGTATAAACAGCTAAAAATAACTRAACTAGTAAGACTCTTAGCAAAAGTAGAGTAGAAGGAATTTGAAGGTGCTTTTCCCCCCTCTTTCTGGACTAGGTTTGACTATTGCAAGTAATTTCTCAAATATGGCTACCRCAACTTTTAGAAAGGTTGTAGACTTCCTAAAATCAAGCAGCTCTGGTTTAGTAACCTAAACTTTAATCGTGTTATTCATTAGATGAGTGAGTAGTTTTATAAACACAAAACAGAGCTWATTATGTTAGACAATTTGCTGAAGATTTTCTGAACGACTTAATCTTTGAACGGTGGCATTTCAGGGAAGTCTCAATAGTGGCAGTAGATTCTGGCTCTTYGGAAGCTGATGATAAAGAGCTCATTAATGTGTTCCATATACAGTGCTGAACAGGGGAARAAAGGAAAAGAACATAAGGAAATACTTAACCAGCAAGTACTTCTCCATCAGCATATGACTGACACTTTCAAAGATTTCAACAGTGATTTTGCTATCTAGCTTCATTTGCTCTGTGSTTTTACCTCTTGCTTCATCTTGCAATGATATTACAACCCTTTGTTTTTTGCAATATTGACCTGCCATAAAATATTGGGAATKGGTCTATTCCTGCAAAAATCTCATGCTTTTGTCTCTGCTAAAAGTTGTTGCTAAGCTAGAAGAGAAGCTAAATGAATGGTCTAAGTCTTGTTCTGAAGTGAGGTGCTTTTTGATACTGCTCTTGATGTTTGGTTGGAGTTGGGTGTTTGGGGTTTGTTGATTCTTTTAAGGAGTCGGTATGCTTGTTAGTGCAGGCTTTATTCTGGAAGATATCAGATTTTTAAAAGTCCACACTAGAAATTTGCCTTACTTGATTTTTTTGCTACAAAAGTTGGACATTGGCTATTCCTGTCTCGGGTGATTTAGTGCTTAGTACAGTTTAGGCATCAACTGTCAAAGTCATAAGGATTTTAACGTGCTAGTGATAACAGAACAAATGAATTGTGAGAGAKTCTGGTCTAAATCTTACTAAGTGCTCCTGGGCAATATTATTTCCTAAAAGAACTGGGATGACCATTTTTAGTAGTGCTGTGACACAAATCAGTGTAACTACTGCCAAGTTCCCTTGTACTTGTTGAGCACATTTAAGTACCTGCGGTTCAGCGGCTCACAGAAAGAAGCTTTGAAGTGCTGGGGTGAGATGGTGGTGATTGTGCTACTWTTATTTGAATAGGAAGACGGGGAGACTCTAGACTCTGTTATGCGAGTGCAAATGTTGCTGTGGTTTTTTTGTCCCACGCCTTAAATCCCATTCTTCTGTAGAAAACGATTTTGTATCTCTTTGGGAAACGGCATTGTGAAAAGAAGGGAGCTCAACCTGATATCCTTTCTCTCAATCTGATCTCACCTCAGAGGGATATGGTGTTGTGTTTCCCAGCAATCGGAGCTGGGAGTGCTTGGTCTACCCCACCTTGCACAAGGCGCCACTTGGGTGTTTGAGGCGAGCCCCGCAGCCCGTGCCGTGCCGTGCCGTGCCGTGCCGTGCCGTGCCGTGCCGTGCCGTGCCGTGCCGTGCCGTGCCG